CTCTCGCGAGATCTCGGCAAAAAGTCTCACGATTTATTTCCAGAACATGATGCATGATGGGATACACTTAGCCTTGAATAGCGCTCCGGAGCGGTATTCGAGATAGTGTGGGTTTAGTATCCATTAAGGGCACTGCACTTTGGCATTTTGAAGACCTGGGACAGTCTTGCACACTTACTTCCTGTCGCGCGCATGCTCTCAAGTGGCCAAGACCGCAAGTGTGGGTATTTGGACAAGGGGCAAGGCCCTGTCCCAAATGGCACACTTCTCCCTTGTCCAAATTACATATAATTTGGTAGTAAAACAAAGAGTTGCACGTTTTATTGGTACAAATGAGTAGTGATAATATTTATTTTTTATAACATTTGCAACTGTATTTTATCACTTAATTAGAAGCACCACAAAATTAAATTGTCATCTGTTATAGAAACTACTGAACAGACATATAGAAGTTGATTTTAAAATGCAAAGCATTGAAAATAAAAATAAAGCTCTGTAAACACTTGCATTTTTACAACACTATAGTGTGTCCCATCAGGTCATGAAAAGTTGTGCACACACTTGTGGTCTTCATGCTCACTTGAACACTCGGACCAAATACAGGAAATACATCATATAAGTAGTCAAGTGGTCAAGTGCAAAGACTGCAAGTGAGTATTTTTGGACAAGGGGAGTATCTCCAGCTCATCGGTTCTCAGTAGGAGTAACATATACGCCGGTATATTGGTTTACTTCGAGTCGTAGGGACTGTAAGGCATGTCTGAAAGTGAGAAACTTTAGAAAATTGTGGATCAGTGCTGACTCGAGATGCGAACTGTTTTGAACGATTCAGTCCGATTTGGTGAACTGGTTCGACCGGTTCACTAAAAAGAACCGGTTCAACGATTCGTTCGTGAACCGGACATCACAGTCAAGATGATCGTGCCATATGAGGTTGCTGAGCGTTATGAGTTAATTAAACATCTGGATGATATTGTACTTGGTGAAATATTAGATTTGTTTAATACAGTGTGGGAAGAGGGTAATTTGCCCAAGGAATGGAAACATGCAGTTGTGATCCCAATTTTAAAGCCAGGTAAAGAGGCATCTGATCCGGGCTCGTATCGTCCAATAGCGCTCACGGCAGTGCTTTGTAAGATTATGGAGAGGATGGTAACAAATAGGTTAGTATATTTTTTAGAAACTAAAGGACTTTTTGTTGATGTTCAGAATGGTTTCAGGAATGGAAGGTCTACAATGGAATCAGTTGCAGTGTTGGATCAGGATATTAAAAGGGCATTTAGCAATAAGGAAGAGGTAGATAGGGTTTTCCTGGATATTGAGAAAGCATATGATTCTTTGTGGAAGGAGGGATTAATGGTTAAAATTTTTGATTTAGGAGTTAGGGGAAGAATGTTTAATTGGATAAAGGATTTTTTAATTAAAAGAACAATTCAAGTAAAGGTTGGTAGTGTTAGTTCAAAAATTGTGGATATAGAGAATGGAACCCCACAGGGAAGTGTTATCAGTCCAGTGTTATTTAATATAATGATTGATGATATCTTTGGTAAAATGGAGAGAGGATTTGGGCTTTCTTTATTTGCAGATGATGGGGCCATTTGGAAAAGAGGGCGTAATGTAGGGTTTGTTTTAAAGCAGATTCAAAGAATGTTAGTGTTGGTGGAGGAATGGGGGAATACATGGGGATTTAAAATTTCGCAATCTAAGACAAAATATATGATATTAGGTTTTAAAAGAAAGTTACCTAATATAGGGCTGTATTTGTATGGGTCTCCATTGGAGAAGGTAAAGGCTTTTAAATTTTTGGGTGTTTGGTTTGAAGAACGTATGACTTGGGCTGTACATGTAGGTAAGATTGTGGAGAGGTGTGAAAAAGTTTTGAATGTTATGAGAAGTCTAGCTGGATGTGAATGGGGGGCCAATAGGGAGACGTTATTATTAATTTATCAGGCCATGATCAGGTCCATTATTGATTATGGGTCCTTTGTATATGGGTCTGCTTCTAAAACTGTTTTGGATAGGTTGGATGTAGTGCAAACAAGGGCTTTGAGGATTTGTTGTGGGGCCTTCAGAACTTCCCCAGTTTCAGCCTTGCTTATTGAAATGGGAGAAATGCCCTTATGGTTAAGGCGTATTAAATTAGGACTACAGTACTGGGTAAAACTTAGAGGATGTAATTATACATATCCAGCAAGGTGTTTGTTGCAAGAGTTTGTTGGAAGTAGGAAATATTATAATTTTTTTGTTAATGTAAATCAGTGGGCTAGGAAGATGGAATTGGAACAGGGAGGTATTGCAGAGCACATAGGATGGTTACCTATGCCATATTGGGTGATGCCTGAGTTGAAAGTTGAGTTTGCTTTTCTTCAGGAAAAAGATAAGATGGAGGTGATACCAAGAATAGTGGTATATCTTAATTCAATTAATCAGAGTAGTATAATAATTTTTACAGATGGGTCTAGAGATCCAATTAATGGGAGAGCTGGGTTTGTGATGTATGTGGAGAAACTAGGGTTGAAAATTGGTCGACGTATTTCGAATGGAAGCTCTGTTCTTACTGCTGAGTTAATGGCAATTTTATGGGCTTTATGGTGGATTGAAGAAGTCAGACCGAAAGAAGTTGTTATCTGTTCTGATTCTGCAGCAGCCCTGGAAACTTTAAGAGCAGGAAAATCTAAAGTTCGATCTGATATTGTAAATGACATCTTGAGTGTGTTTTTTAGAGTTGGGTTTGCTTGCAATATCACTTTTTGTTGGGTGCCTGGGCATGCTGGGGTGACAGGGAATGAGCAGGCAGATTATATAGCGAAGGAGAGCTTAGGTAGAGAAATAGATATCCATGTATCCTTGGGGAGGGTGGAACTGAGGGAAAGAGTTAAAGAGGGCTTAATAAAAGAATGGCAGAGAGGATGGGAAAAGGAAGTCAAGGGTAGACATTATTTGTCTATTCAACCTAAAGTTAAGAAAAGATGTTTTTGTACTTGTCCATCTCGTAAGGACTCCGTTAAACTATGTAGATTGAGGTTGGGGCATTGTGGGTTAAATTACTTTTTGTATATTGTAGGAAAGCATATTTCTGGATTATGTGAATGTGGGAATATGGAAACAGTAGGGCATGTTTTCTTGGAATGTAGGACGTATAATGCAGAAAGAAAAGCACTTTTTGTTAAATTGGCAGAATTTGGAGTTAAAATTGTTTTCTGTTACTTGAAAAGGAAGTCAAGGGTAGACATTATTTGTCTATTCAACCTAAAGTTAAGAAAAGATGTTTTTGTACTTGTCCATCTCGTAAGGACTCCGTTAAACTATGTAGATTGAGGTTGGGGCATTGTGGGTTAAATTACTTTTTGTATATTGTAGGAAAGCATATTTCTGGATTATGTGAATGTGGGAATATGGAAACAGTAGGGCATGTTTTCTTGGAATGTAGGAAGTATAATGGAGAAAGAAAAGCACTTTTTGATAAATTGGCAGAATTTGGAGTTAAAGTGTTTTCTGTTACTACTTTGTTTGGACACAGTGATAAACATAAACTGATCTCTGAGGTAGTTCTTCAGTTCTTGCATAATACAGGACTGTATATAAGAATTTAGTTCAAACTTTGACCTGTGGAGGGCAGTAATACGCCCAGTAGCGTCTACACTGCCGGAAAGATATAAGAAGAAGAAGAAGGTTGCTGAGCCCGTAACTGCCCGAACCGAAACTCGCCGGACGCTCGCGTGCTCAACACAACCCAGCATTGCAATATGCCTTAATTCCAGCCAATCAGAGACCGAGGCTGCTAAATTCTGATTGGCTGGCTTGACAACCAATCACAAGACTCCCTGAATTACCGACAGAGGAAGAGAGAAAATACATGGTGGAAGAGACGTTTGTTCAATGTTTTGAACACTATCAAAGTCCCTATATAAAGTCTTTGACAATTTATTTGATCGCGCGCGTGCAAAATGCACTTTTGTGCGCTCAAAATATGATCTTTCGCGCGCAGAATTATGGCAGAAATGTAAGCCCATAGACAACGGGACCTTTTTAGTTGCACCCAGCGTCACTGCCCCCTCCCACCCTGCGAATCTCGAGCCCCCCTGTAACACAGAACATAGAACAAAGCGATGCAGAAAAGCGTTCAGATCGCGGGGAATTCCCGCTTATATCTCGGTTAGAGGGAGGACCCGGAGCTTCAAACTCGGCCCTGTCCGAACTTCACCGGCCACGAGTTCCGGGACCCCCCTCGAACGGAGCTATCGCCCCCCAAATATCTCCCTTTAACCGGCTATTACTCCAGAGCCCAGTACGGGCTGCAGCTATATCTACTAAAACCATAGACGTTGTTTCACTGGTTCGATCTCGCTGATTCATGGGTTCTCAGAGATCGCCCAGCCTACTGAATAGGGATGGGCGATACCTCTTATTTTATTTTCGATCCGATACCGATATTTTCAAGCCCAGTATCGTCGATATCGATACCGATACTTCTAAACTAAACTGATCTTTTAAATTATTACAATAATATATAATCAGTAATTATACTCACTTAATAGTAG